AATGAGGTGACTGATGTCTGTTTTGTTATGTGTATTTTGCTGGGATGGAAAATGTTAATTTGGTTCCACATGCAGCCCATTGGGCAGCATCTTGCAAATTAAGAATCTTGCCTATGGTTCCATAAAACAGCAAAGTGGCTTTTTTTTTCCTCTTGTAAAGTGGCTTGAACCCCACAGCTATAGCACAAGCGAGCAGGGTCATCAGAAGCCACTCCGTTCTTCTGGAAGCTGCAGAGAAAGGCAACCCAGAAACCTGATATGCCAGTAAAAAGGGTACGAAATTCTTACCAGCCAAATTTCTGGTCTCTCTTTCTCTGTCTGGGTAAAACAGTAAACTATTGGTCTCTTCTGCAAGGGTTCGATTAATAGAAAAAAGGATTTGTGAGATTAGTCTTAGGCGGTAGCCAATCTGCTGTACTTTGTGCAAAGAATTTGTCTTTCTGTGTTCTGTAGTGGAGAGAGGGGTATCACAGGATAGAATGTGGGTTTAAGACCCCTATAAGCTCACTTTTCAAGCCAGCTTGGCAGGCTGGTCAGTTACAAACCTTGCTACGGGTCCCTGAAACCAATACTGGATGAAATTTCTCTGTCTTGCTTTGTGCCCTTAAGAGCTTAACTTTGTGACCATGTGGGGATACTTTCTCTTGGTTTCTGCCATCCAGAGGACAGGAATTTTGGGGTTCATGTCATAGTCCTAAAAAATGTTTCTTGAGCAGTTAAAAGCCTGTGCAAGCTTGAAATTGGTTTTTCTAATCTCCTGGGTAGAGCGATAGAAACTGCTCAATGCTGTAACTCAGTAGTTGAGGCTTTGCCTTTTGACAATGGCGGCCTGGGTTTTACTCTTGGCTTCTAGAATGATTCCTTTCTGGGTTTTATTTATGAAACTTTGCCATTTATCGAGGTTCCCCCCCACCGCCCCACCCCAGCCAACCCATGGATAGCTTCTGATTCCCTGTCTTGAATTTTCCTTTCTCTAAACTACCCTGGGGGAGATTCTAAATCTTGTTCAAACACAAAAAAACAAAAAAGAAACTGCTTACCATCTCCTTGAGACATGTATGTGTCTATGGTTAAGTTATAACCTTAGGCTAAAACTTTATAACATTTCATGTTGTGGGAAGTTAATCCTTGTGTAGCATTTAAAGCCAAAATACGTTGGTCGCTTTCAGTGTGGCTAAAGTTGGGCTAATAAAATTTTAAAGGATTTTTTGTTTTTTTTTTTGAAGGTGGGTCTCACTTCTGCTCGGCCAGGCTCGAATGCCAGCTGGCGCCGATTCATCGGTTCACATGCCAACGCTCCGGTCCTCCCCGGGTTCACCGCCATTTCTCCGGCCCGTCAGCCTCCAGAAGTAGCTGCGGACACAGGGCCCGCCCACACTCCCGGCTAATTTTTTTGTAGCTTTTAGTAGAGACGGGGTTTCACCGTGTTAGTCCAGGATGCGGTCTCAATCTCCCTTGACCCAGGGGTGATCTGCCGCCGTCCTGGCCCTCCCAAAGTGCTGGGATTACAGGCGTGAGCCACCGCGCCTGGCCCTTAAAAGGATATTTTTTAAAAAATGCTATGGTTAAACGTCAGCTTAATTAAAAGTGGATAAACAAGCAATAGGTATATTTAAAAGGCCTTTATGTTTTTCTCTTTTTGGATCTTGTTTTTTTTCCTGGAAATAGGTTTTTTCTTCTCAGTCAACTGAATTACTTTTTTCCATTTTTTTGTCTTGCCACTCCTAATGCACACATGAGAGGCCCTAAGATAACTTCTGGTAGCCTGGGACTCCTTGGGAAAAACAGAGGAGGCGCCACAGACCCCGTTTTGGAAAAAGCTCTGTTTTCCTCATGAAATCCCAGGAATTAAAAGCAGATAGATCCCTCTCAAAATCAAAGGTTCTGTTCTGTTTTGCATTGTGTTATCTGACAGTTTTGAGTTTTGGGGGTATCAGAAATTACTTCTCATTATGAGAGAGTTTTGGTGTGTAATAACTAGGTAGGAAATATACTCTAGGGGATGGCTAACAGTAGTTGTGGAGGGATACTTGACTCTGCACACTTGGATCAGAGACGCTTGCTCTTGG